AAAGAATTAATGTAACAGGTAGAGTTCACTGCCTTCTGCTTATCTTCAGCTACTGCCTACTACTGATGATAAACTTCCTAAAAGTGAACTTCTCTTCACAGCTGATAGGTATTCAGGATGGGTATCTCTCCCTGCTGACAGAAAGTGGTGAAGTTCGTGAGGATCTAAAGTTGCCAGAAGGGGATCTTGGCAAAGAAATAGAAGGAAAATTCAATGCCAATGAAGATGTGCAGGTAAGTATAGAGGGCAGGCAAGAAGAGTTATGGTTAATTCCGTTTAATTATACAATGAAGAAGTCTTATTCTGATATTGACAATTGGTATCTCTTCATGAAGAGTGGGTTAGAAGCACAGGAATTGGTCCTTTGAAATGTAGAAGGACTTTTGTCCTGGAGCACTCTATAGCACTGAAGCCTGGCTCAGTTGACGGTGAGGTAATACGTCTCAATTGTCTCAAATATCTAGATAAATCCTCATAGTGCTGTCTGCACAGCATGGATTGGAGCCTCCAGGCTTTCTTAATCGGGACCAAGTATAGAGTTTTGTGATGTAGTCTAGTTTGCTGTGTCAGCAAACCTGTCTGCGGGCAGCTCTGCAGACTGTAGTCTAAACTGGGCCACTCCAGTTGCTAGTTTGGCTCTATTGCAGGAGCTTCTTCATCTTCCTGTGTTTTACAAACCTCAAGCTGCCAGCCAGGGCAATAATGGCAAAGAGAAGGCAGCAGAAGGGCAGATATTGGTGAAATTCTTCTAATGACTGACTTTTACCAGCTTCAACTTCCCTTTTTTCTTCTCAGGAGAAATGAGATAGACATTAAAATGTGAAAGTCGGTAACTTTTAGGAGTGCTTCCTTTGACAAGGGTTGGAGCTCATCTGTCTGTCTTTTCTTCCAGATATCCGTCATAAGTGCAATGAATGAAGAATGTGCTGTAGCCATAAAGCCTTGCAAATAAAGAGGATCGCCAGGCTCGGGCAACTGCTCAGGTCTGGACAAACCACAGATCTATAAATTTGGTTCTTATTGTCACCAAAGCTCTGGCCTTCACAAGCAACCTCATTTCTTTTTTGAATTGTTAAAATGCAGTGCTGGATTCTGGATTAGTGTTGCAGGCTAACTGGCAGTTTTCAAAATCACTGAGATTTTAATTCCTTAATTGTAACTATTTTAACATTCCTGTGGGTTTCAGCTATGGATCTAAGAAACCAATCAGGTGTTACTAGTGGATATATTTTTATTTGCTTGAGCAAAACAGTGTTTGTCTGTATGAACAGACAAAATACAGTATTCAGGGGCTTTTAGATAAGCTGGTAGGTATCTAGGATTATAAAGTGACCTAGAGCACAAATAGTATTTTTCTTGACATGTTTAGGTAGAACTGACAATACAAATAGCTTTTTTTTTTTTTTAAAGCTTAAGTATTTTGTGGATTGGGACTCTTGCAGAACTGTAGGTGCCAATCGCAACTTTTAGACCAAGAAACTCAAGTGATCAAAAATGCCAGCTGGCTTGACCAAGCCCCAGTGGCCATGTGCAACTTAACTGTATTACCTCTGTATTCTTCTTTGCCAACTTGTTGGCTTATTGTAATGATAAAATGGTGTCAAAGCCTACCTGTGATTTAGGCAGGCAGTTGGAATATTTGGGTAGATAAGACATAGATAGGTCAAGGGGACACAAAGGTGAGAATGGATGGTAAAGCTATAGACTTTCACTCGAGGCCTTTGTCAGACTTGAAAAATAAAATAGAAAAATGCAGTTCAATTGCTTTCCTTTATTGTATTTATCTTAAACTATAGAAGGGTGACAAGCTCCATGGGAATCTGTTGCAGTGCTTCCAGCTTTAGGTTTTAATCTTCAGGTTCAGACCATATTTTTGTAGCACAGGGACTACATGTTTTTCAAAAACTGGGACAAACTGTAGCATTGAGCCTATACTAAATGCATGTGATTCTTTTTTAAAAAAATAAAACTATTGTATTTTCAAAATAGAGACTTGACAGACAATACCGAACAACCATGGCTAAACTATAAAAGTAAATAAATTGCTACATAGTTATGAAAGCTAGCTCCCATCCAAGGGAGTTCTGAGTCACTGAAACGTGCATGCATGTCTCTAACTATTTAGTAGCTTAACAAGGCAAACACAAGGCTTCACAGCAATAGTTCTGAAGGATAACTAGCCTGCTCCTGTTTAAGACGTTCAACTTGAATTCTAAGACTTGGTGACTCTTCATGAGTGGGAAGCTTCCTCAGTCCGTGGCTCAGACCTCTCTTCACAGTTCATAAATTGTTTCATGAACTTGCCTTAAGCTTCAGTGGCTGTTGGCTAATGGAGGACAATTTGTAAACACGTGGCATGCTGCCCTGGACAGCACGCGCAGTTCACACTATTGGCAGTGAAAGTCAGACTTTGCGCTGCTGTTAACAGCTTAAGATGTTTGCAGCTTAATAGTATGTACTCTAATCCCCCAAGGGCTCATGGCAGCTGTCCTGAACTGCCCTCGTACATACTGTGGCAGGGTTTAGCAAGGAGGTCTAATGTAGATGGCAAAACCATTCTTTTTCCACAGACTTCTCATGACAGGGAGAGCAGTACCAGTGAAGGTAAAGACAGCAATAAATATACTCTGGTAATAAAGCACAGTTACCTGGGACACCTTGCAGAAGTAGGATACTGCCACACGCTCTTGCCTTGCACAGTATGTGTTGCAAGTGAACTCTAAATAGCACCTTAACTGAAATGGCAAAACTGCTTTTTAAAAAAAAAAAGCTATAGATGCAAGAGATTGAAGTACATTCAGACTAGTTTTGAAGTGCACGCTTAATAGGTCAAGCTAGCCTGCGCTGTGTTCCTTCCTGCCTCTCCATCGAACTGGTACCTGAAAGACAGGCTTTGTTGGTTTTGGAGGTGACTGTGAAACCATTGATGATGGTCTTGACACCAAGCTGCAGTGTGTGATGTCATATGGGAAGTCATAGGTTGCTATGTCAAACTAATGCAAGTTCTGATGCCATCACTGCATTACAAATGCTTCTAATGTGCTTGAAAACTACAAGGCTTGGACTTGTTCTGTTAGAGTTTTAGTCTACTTTCAGGTGCCTGTCTGTCCTATAAAACCTTGCTGGAACACAGGTATTTGGTGCCACAGGCCAACAATTTTAAGTAGTTAAGACTGTAAGCTCTGGGAGGAGGGCTGTTTTTTGTCCTGTTCCTACAAGAGGGGTCCTGGTCTGACTGGAGTTTTCAGGTACTACAGCAATCTGAGGGTAGAGGTTTTATGACCTCCAGCTTGCTGGAAGAGCCCTCCTTGGGACATATGGGTGTCCTTCTATTGCAACCTTCAGTTCTGCAAGATTTAAATGATTAAGTACTTCATTATAGGTTTGTTCTTCTATACTTAGTTGTCTTTTGTGAAGCACTTCGAACACTATGGAGGTGCAGAGCATTGGCTCATCATGCATGAAGTTTCCCATAGATAATACACAAGCATGAGTCTTAAGCATAATCTCCAAGTTTCAGTAAGGTTAAAAGTTGCTTCTAAATTAGAACATGTATTTGAGGCATTTTTTTCCAAAGTAAGATGTTTCAGTTTACTGTCAGAATAGTTTGCAACAAACTTTGTGATCAATAGTCCATATAGATATGTATTTGTAAGATCCCTAACCAAATGCTTAGGGAAAATTCTCCTTTCATAACTTTAAACAAATCTTACTGATGTTGTTCTGTAGTACTGTCTTAACACTTGTGTCAAAACCGAAAACTATAAACTTCTAATAGCTGATGCAATTGCTTAGAGTAAAGGCTGTGAAAACTAGGAGGTGAAGAAAAGTATTTCCACTCCAAATAATGCATTTTTTTATGGCTCCAATTCATTGAGTTTCTCTTACCACTTTACAGCATTGGAAAGACTGCGGTGTTTCCTGCCTCAAATGTTGGCAATTAATACTTTAAGATTTCAACAGATCCTTCTAATTTTTGCTTATGATGGTGGTTTTTCAACTAGGCTCTTGCTAGTTGAGCCATGTTCTCAGGGCTGTTTTTTTTAAGAAGTTTGCTGAATTTCATTGTTTTAACGTAACTGCTTTCAAGCCTCTTGCAGGTTTTTCTAATCCACAGTGTACCCAGAAACGGTGCACAGTCTGTAGTTTGACAATACAGGTAAATTTTACATAATCTGTAAAGAAGTCAAAATTGTTAACAGTTCAGACTCTTAAGATTACTGCAGGTCAGTCTCACAGAAATCAAAATTCAATAAATCCCACTTTTTTTGGTTGAGTAATTTAGAATGTAGTTTGTTACAGTAGAACTAAACTTCAGGGGGGAAAAAAAAAAAGACCTTGTTAAGGATATTTTGAGTGTCTCACTTATACACTGAGAATGTTAAGGAAGGTGTAGATCCTGGAGGTGTTTCGGTGGGCGTGTGGTGGAGCGTCGGGCAGCTCGGCACAGCAGGCCGAGGGCATCAGAAGTCCCTCCAGCATCTGCAGCCTGGCCCTGCAGTACTTGGCATCTGAGAGTGACTTGGTTTGTGAACTTAAAATCAAACATTTGCTGTGTATTGCTGTATCGCAGAAAACCCCTCTTGTCCTGTGCTGTATGTTGTAAGCGTAAACTGTTGTTCGGTGCGGCTTTCAAAACGCGGGGCGAAGAGGAGTGATGGCCCGTGACTCGTTTTACTGCTGATGGCAAACCCCAAACCCTGTAAACGGCGGCAGCGGGAGCGGCGGTCCTCATGGTTCAGCTGTTTGGGAGCTGTATTGTTCTCACCGCCACACTAACGATGGATGGGGGGAAAGATGTAAATGTGTGGGGTTTTTTTCTCCAGAAATAATAAAGACGTCAGTGCTGTGGGGAGCTGGGTGCTGGTTAGTTTTACAGGGCGGTGGGAGAGCCTTCGACGCTGCGGGGAGGTTGTGGGGTGGCTCTGGCTGGA